GTGGCTGGTGGTGCTGGTGGTGCTGGTGGTGCTGGTGGTGCTGGTGGTGCTGGTGGTGCTGGCATGTCACTGCGGATTGTGAGAGACCTTTGGAGTTCAAACGCTGGCTGTTCCCCATGGTTCAGAGTTTGAAGGCAGAAGTCTAGTTTCCCACAACACAAAGCTCATACCCTCAATGACAAGCTCTAGGCCTGCACTGCTAGAAAGCCCCCAGACATCTAATCCCAAAACAACAAGTGTATCGCAGAAGCAAGAGTAAAACCCCAACTGGCATCCCATGGAACAAATTTGTGGACCGAAATCTGAAAGAGATTCTGATCTACTGAAGCTAACTTTGCTTCTGCAAGCTTTTGCACAGTACTGCCGAGGACAACCCGAAAGCAAGCCGCTGCTCACCTGAGCTCCGAGCCTGTTGAACATTGTGAAGGCGATCAACTGGCTTGACCACGGCAACTGGCAGCACGGAAAGCGGTTGAAGCGGTTGCCTTAGTCAAAGGCGTTCCAACTTGAATGTAGGAGGCCATATGGTTGAAGCATCATTGGGAGCTGAAAGCCCGTCCCCTCCCACCCTCGAACATCCCCGAACGGTATAAACCTCTCGCTTGGATCACACATGTGCAGTGTCGCCACCACCTAACCCCAAAGTACATGTTTTGGTCCCTTTGCTCGAGTGGTGCCTGCCCCTGAGGCTATAAATTGGCCACGCACTTGCAGGATTTATCTGCCCTCCGGAATGCTGTGGTAAGTGGATTCGCCCCTCCTTCCAAATCCAATAACATGGGCCAGGGTTGGGTTAGGGTTCAGGGCGAGGTCTCACCACTATGATCGCTGTGCGGCGTAGGGGCTACCAAAAGCTTACCCTCAACACGAAACGGTCGACAGTATGGCAACCCCTTTTGAATGGAGCCACTGCTTCACCATGTTGGCCGATACCATGAGATGGAGGCGGGAGGCGGGATGTCGCCCAGTATGCATGACAGGCAGGGTGCTAAACTAGAAGTCGTACTGCCGACTGTTGGTGTCTCCAAGACAATGACGGTCTGCAGCAGTGGGACCCGCTCAAAGACTGTCCTCAAGAAGGCAGAATGATAGAGCTGTACTTTACAAGTCAGGCTACATAGGATATCGATGAACATATTCAATGGGTTTTCAGGTTTGAGGAGTCCCTGAGAAAGTAGCGACCCGAGTGGCTGTGTAAGCTGGCGCTTCTCCTGGCGATCAGTTTAGGATTTAGGGTTTAGGGCTTGGGGTTTCGGGAGGTTCGTCCAAACGGCACTGGCCCTCAGTTGAGCAGCCATTCTCGTGTTGGTTTGACCAAGTATAGCACACATCCATTTTCCTACAAAAGCTAAACCCTACTATTTCAGCTGTGAGGCGCTCCTCACTTAGCGGGCCTTCTTGGTGCTCACTTACTCCTAATAATAGACGCCTGCTGTAGCTCCTTCGGAGGCTCCTCAAGTGCAAAGCAATTGAAGATCTAAATCTACGGATTGCTGTTCCACTTATGGTCCTTCTTGAATGCCCAAGAGTCAACGCGATCTCAGTTTGACGATCGTAAGTTAAGGCCCGAAGCGAAAAGCTGCGCACCCCACTCCATCCCCAAGTTCTCTGAGTACTCTCTGAGGATCATGAGCAGTCCTTCACCTTGCCGTCCCTTAGCGCAGACATAAAATCCATTCACTCACCTTCGCCTTCCTGTAACTTAACAAGGTGTACCTGAGCCACCTTTTGGGCCAGGCGCTGCTACTGGCCTTCAGTACCGGCTTTCAGTGGCTCTATTGAGGGCCCGGGCACTCTTTCCGGACGTGTGCAGTCAAAAGGCAGGTGGGGCGCGCACCGCAAAGCGCACCTGCAAGAATGAGAGCCAAAGACGGCTCACGCAGGCAGGTCGAGGCAACACAGAAGCTACAGCCTGCAGGGTGGAAGAAAATGCTCCAGCGAGATTCAAGGCAGGCGGGAAAGGACTAGTGATATACAGAAGTTACTCTTGCTGCTGTGCATCCCTGCTTCTTTGCAATCCTGCCCTGCCATTCTCTGCATGCAAGCTGCGAGAAGACGGTAGCAACCAACAGTCCCTGCAATATCGGCTTCCCCCCGAGCGTCCAGAGAAGCGAGAGGAGCCCTGGCAGCATGTGCTTCTTGCAGAGACTTTAAAGTTTTTGTTCGGTGCTTTGGGGTTCAGAAATTAGGGTTTAGGGTTTACGGGGGGATCGCCTCTCTTCCTGCAGGCAAGGGAAAAAGGGGCCGGAAAAAAGGCTCTGATCCTGGCACCTTGCAGCCCCCACTCGTAGGTCTTCAACCAGCAATCCAACCGAGCCCGTCATTTAGGGTTTAGGGTTTAGGGTTTAGGGTCCGATTTCAAGAATCGCGTCCGAGCTGCATGTCTGGACCTTAGCTCACTAAACTCTCAAACTTGGACATGAACCCAAGAAGTGTACCCTCATGCCGGCCACCTCCCATGAGACATCCCTCTTGGTGGCCGGCCCAGTCGGAAGTATCCTGGCAGGTGCAGGTGATGTTGGCAATGCGAGTCTCTGATCATGTAGAGCTTTGACCAAGAGGGAGGTGTATATCCTTATTCAGGACTGTTTATGCCCTAACTCCTCCTCGTGGGGGCCGCTTTAGGGGCAGATGGCCCCGTCGACCTACTATATAACTGTGCATGACGACTGTCCGTGACAGTCCACCATGTAAATACCGACACCTTCAAAAGGCTCACTTCGCTTCGAACAGCCGCAGCATGCATTGGCCTTGTCGCTCATGTTGGCAAGGAAGGCCAGCACTACATACACACAGAGAGCGATGAAGAGCACCTCTGCTTGTGATTGAAGGGTGCCAGTTTATGCTGAAGCCATGCTGAGGTCTATGACACCCCCTGGCCCCTACGACTCGACTCTGGACAAACTGTTCCCCACATCTCCTTTACACATCTCTGCAGCTTTCATGATCGCAACAACTCGCAATTGAGGCGTACTAGCTGCTCTAGGCCAGGCTAGGGAGCTTGCAACAGTTCGGTAGATGAGATGGAGCCTCGATATACCATTACACGAGGGGGGTTCACCTGAGATACAGATTGCTGTCATGATTACATGTGGGACCGCGAAACCAAGAGATTCTAGTACTCGTTTACGAGCATGCTCAAATGGCCTGAACCTTAAAGCAGCACCTTCGGGACGCCAAAACGGCAAGCACGAGTGATTAGTAAGACTTTTGCTTTACCTGGTGCGTGAAGCAGGTACCACACACAATTTGATCGACCATCTGCTGGGTATTCCCTGATTTGGGTTCCCTCTGACTTTCTCCACTCAGCCGGGGGGCCAGTCCCAGCCAGAAAATGAGCAGTTGCAGCAGCGCCAAGTGCAACCTCAACCTGCTTTCCTCGCAAGGAGCCAGCGGATAGCTGCTGGAGATCTCAAACTTTGAAGAACTCTAGGTTAGAATCCCAAGTGTTCGTGTTTCTTCTGCTAGGAGTACTTCAATGCTGTCACAACTTCTCGCTATGACTTTACGGTTTAAGCCTCAATTCAATACGGATGCTCGCAAGCAAAATGCGGCTTGATCACGCCGTTGTTGCAGCCGGACCTCAGGTGTTGCAGATAGTATCGTATGGGTATTTGATAAAACTAGATAGAGTACCTTATTTGGGGTCCTTATAATAAGGTACAGGATCCTACTATTCAGGGCCCTATATTGAGATCCCCTATTTCTGAAACTATCACATGGTACCATGCAGTACAATATGGTATGCCATAATCATCAAACTATCGTATAATATGATGATAGTCGAACATAGTATCCTGTCTTCTCGCTACTTATTCAAAGACACCTCAACAGTTATTTAAGTGCAACAGCATCGCCAAGTAGGACCGTTGCTTGGGTCGTCGGTGCAGTTATCAAGCTACCTTTGATCATGGGGTGCTGTTCCACAACAGGAGCCTTTGGCAGATCCGCGCTGGAAGACGTAGCTACTAAACGTCAGGCAGACCTGTCTGCATCTAGCCTCCAGCAGATCGCCAGAAACCCACGTACGAACTATGTGGGGGTCTACAGATTTGGTATCCACATGTACAGCGACCCGTATGAATCAGATACATATTTTGCTGTCCGAGCTTCCGAAGCAGGAGCACGGAGCCCAGAAGCAAGCCGGACAGAATCTGACTCACGATGAAAACGACGAGCTTGCGGACCCTTGCAAAGGATTTGACATCCACATTGCAATTTGAATGGGGCCTTGATCATGATACTTCCGTGTTGCTCCACTGCCCTCAATGCCCTGCTTAGAACGGCACCAGCTCCGGGGGTCGGTCCAGGAGAGCTCCTCCGCGCATTCCTTCTTGACGGCATCAGTCCTATCGGTGCAAGCCGCAAGCGTCTGAACCAAGCTGAACAAGACTGCAGGAATTCAACCTCGTACTGTATACATTCAACGAGCCATACCAACGTGAGGTAGAGCGAGCACACGAGACACTATGCCAATGAAGGATCTCTATGGTTATATGCAGTCAAGGTCCTTCCAAATCATGGACCTCTGAATTAAGGACAAAAACAGTATGCAACTTACCGTAATGCTGCCCTGGTGCAGTTGGTAGAAGACCACACTGACTGCTGCCGACGCCAGGAGGTGGCCGGCACGCAGCACAGCTCGGGCTGCATGCGAAATACGAAAGCAGAAGCCTGCCAGGGCCCCGAAAAAGTCCCGCTGTTCCCGTCTGTTCAGGTGAAAACTCTTGAAACGTCCAGGATCCCTACCCAAGCCCTGGAAGGGGGCACAAGAAAGCACAATAAGAATGCAGAGGGCACCCTAATCGGTGTCAAGGAAGCACAGCTAAAACAGGTACGATTGCCGGGAAGAGGCTGATCAGCAGGCACAGTGGATGGAAGGCCGCAGCAAGCCTCATTTGTCTGTACATGTCAACTTGGCCACCAAAGCTTGGGCAAACGAAAGAAGCAGAACTCGGTCGTTACTGCATGCATGCTCGACAGCGTGGACGCAAGCATTATGGATGGCCACGAAGCTTGAAACCTGCAAGATGATAATATTCTTCTGTGACACGGGCATACACGGGCCCACGTAGAGGTACACCCCTGTCGTACTACCCTTGACCGACCTCATTGCACTAAGCCATCACTCGGCCACCTGCGGGCAGCTTCCAACTGTCCTAGTGGCGGCCTAGCTAAGTACTGAAGCATCAGACTTGAAACCTGCTTCATAGACGCACTCGGCCGTGTAAGGACACAATGCAAGTTGCCATGTTGCTTACACGGCTTGAAGATGGTCCTTGAGGGGGGAGGGCGGGACCGGGGAGGGGGAGGGCCAGGACAAGGCACATAGCCCAGCGGTAGAGGAAGCCTCTCCAGCCTGGTGCCAAAAACCTGTCTGCAGCTTCGTTGTGGAGCCTGACGAGATCGCGTTCACGTTTGACCTCAGGACGGGATACGGCAGGATGGGACAGGATTGCAAAGGGCATTGTTCAGCTTCGAAGAAACTGAGAGAAGCAAGAGTTCCAGTCTCGGCACGTGCATGCGTTCGGCCACACACAGCCTCATGCGAAACCAAGGTTACGTGGCAATACTCACAGAGCTTTGCCAAACAAAAGTCTGCCAGGCGACAAGGCCAAATGCTTCGACCGACGGGCGTAACTATGCACTTTGCAGCCAGAACGCTTCTCTGGCCACCGCTGCGGACTTGTGGAATTCTCCTCAAACGCTGAACTGCAGTACGGGTACTAGAAGTATGCGGACACACTCGTTCTTTCACACTCTCTCTCTATGTATATTTTTCACAACACGCGCAAACTTCTTCATCACAAATCCATCAGCACCAGCCATATGGGAGGTGGATGCTCGAAAGAAAGAGTCGTTCTTGACATGACGTTGAAGCAACGAGACAAACAACGAAAATCTTTTTGAAACCGAGCCCCCCAAATGCGCAACATTGTTTTGGGCTGGTATTGGATTGGACCATCGGGGGGGTCGGGTCTGGGAGACGAGCCCAGCACGACAAAAACCACTCATCCGCGTGAGAACAGCCCAGGGAGCATCTTGAGTTGACGTGGCGTCACATGTTGTTGTCCTCCGTCGACGACGGCCTCTGGCCCACTGAACGAAGCAACGGAACGCAATGAGAAAGCTTTCGGAACCAGAGGTGCGTGTGTCATGCTGCATGGGTCTCGAAGCAGGACCGAAGAAACTGATGATTCCCGGCCCGCATCTTGGAGCAGGTTGCTCTAATTAAGTTATTATAAACAGAGCTGGCTGACGTCGCTGAGGGTTAAGAGCGTTGCTCATCCTCCGTCTGGTAACATACCCATGTCATCCCATGTCAAAGATGACTGCGAACTGCCCCGAAGCGGAAAGGACATAGCCGCTAAAGCCGGTGTCAACAAAGCTTCGGAGAATACATACTGCCGAGCATCAAGAGTAAAGTCGGAAAATATCACCTCACATCCACGAAACAAATAAGCATACATGAGCATTGCATGAGTAGTCAGGCCATCGCGACGAGCAAACATTAGAAAGGCTGGGTTTCATACTGAGCTCGGCATTCTCTGTGCATGTATGTATGCACGCATGTATGCATGAATGCAGGCATGCATCTATGTATACATGCATGTATGTATGCTTACACGTATGCATGCATGTAAGCATGTATGTCATGTATGCACGCATGCATGTATGTATATTTGTATGTATGTATGTATGTATGTATGTATGTATGTGCGTACGCATTTATGTATGCATGTATGTGGAGGCTCAGATTGCCAGCAAGAGCAGCTGGAACGACTGAAACCCCAGAACCTACAGGTTCGCCTAGGACGGCCAAAATTGGGCTGCCATCGCCTGTGTGGCATTGCAATCGGCGTGCTTTCCGCGCCTGCGAAAAAGGCTAAGACCCACTGCTTTAGAGGGCCTTCGCTTGTCAACACACCACTCGGCCACTCCGGCCCTCCGCTTTCGGCTTTTGCATATGGGCAAGCAATGGCGGAAGCAGTAAGGCCGGCAACATTAGCGGGACGCCGCAGGAAGACCCTGGCGCCAGCCTTCAGATGGGCAGCAGTGGCAGCTTTGGCGTCTTGGGCTGCGAGCCCAAAGGCCAAGCGGAATGAAGTTCGGTACGACAGCATGCAGGTCGCCCAGACACATGGTGGAGGACAACCCTGGGCACATCAAGATGCGCAAGGGGTCAGGCGACCCCGACCTCATGAGCGAGGTCCAGAATCTCAGAAGGCACTGACGTCGGCCAGGAAAGCACGCGCGAAGCTCCGCAGATTACACGAAGAGCAACAGCGAAGTGCCGCACAAAGGGAGGCATACAAGAAAGACTCGAAGGCCAAGTTTTTGAAGCAAAAACAGAATTACGAGCAGGATGTGGAGCGCATTCTTGCCGAGAGAGAGGCAGCAATCGCGGCACGAAAACAAGCTTCTGCCACAGTGAAACACCTTGTGGACCATGGCCTGCGAAAGGAGCAGAAGACGGAGATGGAACACACGGCATGGGAAGAGCTGTTGACTGGTGGAAACGATGTCCAGGAACACAGCTTTCTGCAGGCTGCCATGGCGGCAGCTCGGGAGTTCCAGGGGAGACGACTGCCACGACATCTACAGAAGGGGCCGCCAAGATCCTTGCAGCTAGCTTGCCGCATCCTCAGATGGGAGACCTGCCCGCGACTGGTGCGCCTCCTGTGACGGACACGACGAGAAGGGAACCTCCTGGGCTGCAGAAGCTCTCGCCACGTCCGGGGCCTCCTTATGTGGCTTCGCCGTCCACCAGGAACTTGGAGCCGCCCAGGCCTGCAAGCCCAAACAAAGCTGCGATGGAGGTCAGCCCGCTTGGCACACGAAAGCCAAGCAGAAATCCTGTCAAGGGCACACCACTTCGTCCGGTGACCCAGGCCACATCGCGGAAAAACTCGAAGCCAAACGAAATGCCCTGCTTCCGTTGGATGGACTTGGACAGGAAGCCCGCGGTGTGCTATGCCAGGCATCTGCGATTGGGTTTGATGGCGCTGTTGGAGATGCCATCACAGGAGCAGCGCCGGGAGCCGTGAAGGCAGAGAACGCTCCTGGAAGAGGAGGGTATCTCGCCATCCGAGGCTAGAGCTCCCTTTTTCAGGTGCGGGATGCAATCTTGTGCAACAGCTTTTTGCTACGTGCATCTACTCACCTCATTTTGTGGGTGGCCTCACTCGCCACTCTGCCTTCTCCCTCGTCCACGAGGTGCGGTGTGAGTACCCCTCTTTCACTGCTTCCTCTATAGCTCGGCCGAGACTATAGAGGAGAGAGGTACATGTCTAGAGCCTTGTATCCAGCTCTCAGCCTTGCACCAGTCCATGATTTATATCTCCGAGCGCGAAACATCTGTCAGTCGCTCAGGGGCAGAGGCCGCAGTTAAACATGACTGGCTTGCCCTTCATGAACAGACAGGCCTCTTACAGGTTTGGGTTTGGTTCGGAGAACTTTGTAGTTCCTTCTTTCTTTCACTCCTAGGAATTGCTGCACTAGCACTTGCCAAGCTGCTCTTTGCTAGCATTCCAGGCAAGCACTCTCCGCTTGGTGCCATTTGTCACCTTCCTTTTTGCCAACTGGGATGGTTGGAGCAGGACCAGGCTCAGATGCAGTCTGCCTTGATTGGAAGCCCTGGAAGGACAGGAGCAGACCAGCCGGTCGCCGAATCGCAGGCACTACACATTTCTGGCTAAGGGCCCTCCTGGTCTAGACCGGACGTGGGTGTGCCCAAGCCGGCAGCGTCACCACAGTTCAGGGATTTGTAATTGGTGGGGCCATTGCTCATGAGTACATCCCAACGGAAAGACTTACCGTCGCACTCATCATCCCTTCCACAGCCGAAGAAGCCGAGGACGCAGTCCAATCAAAAAGATGTCGCAGGACCCGTCGCCTGTATCCACGCCTCCTTGCCACCCGGACCTGACCTGACATACAATGTCGAGGTCTGGGTCGGGACTGACGACAGTCCTCTCCGGGACGAGGTTCCGGTGCATCTCTTTCCTGGAGAGCTCACTGCCATAGTTCCGATTGGAGGTGCCACACCAGCAAAGTCCACCCTCTGCCAGCAACTCCTTGACAAGCACCGTTGGGCGTCCTTTACTCTACTGCCAGATATTACAGTCGACGCTGCCGATTGTGTTGTCAGAGGAGAGTTCACACGGCTACACCCCTCGGACCTCCATCGCCCTACACAATACAGGGAAAGGATTGCTCAGACCGCTGGAGTCAGTTCTTGCAACATTCGCACTCAAGCTGCTCAACCCAAGCCAGAAAATGTTGCATTAGATGGCTTTCCATGTAGAACTGTGTTAGCAGTTGAAGCTGTTGGGCCTCCAAGCAGCGAGCGGGTCTGGCAGAGTTGCCTCCTTGACTGCAGACATATTGGGGAGGCTTGGAGAACAATAAGGGTATATCAGGGCTTCCTCCACAGACGTACCATCCTTGATGATCTTGAGGATTCCTCACCCTCAGGCGGGCCCACTATTGGGATCAACGACCCAGTGGTTGGGTCAAGGTTTCGCCAGGGCAAGTCCTTGCCGCTGTTTACATTCCATCTGAGGAACCAGCACCGGCAACACAACCTCCTGTACAAGCCGGAGCAAGTAGTACACACAATAGTGAGGCAGTCACCAACCCAGACGATGGAGCAGGTCACAGAGCCGAGGACACAGACCATCAACCTGATGTTGAGCACCAAGGGACAACTGCAGAGACCCAACCATCCAGCTTTACTTCAGTCCCCTTCTTGCTCTTTTCCCCGGAGTACTGGATAGAACTTGTTGTGGCTCCTCTTGCACTGCCTGTTGGCATCTCTGTTGCCCTTGCTTCAGCAGCTCAGGCTAGGTTAGCTGCCAACCACCACGGTTAATCGCTGTTTTTCCCCCAACCTCTGCTTGAACAAGCCTGTGCGCTCGCGCTTCCTCCTTGGCCTTTTGATGGCATTGCCGTTCTCATCGAGAACAGGATCAACAAGCACAGCCATTTTGCAGCCATTGTGCCACACTCACTTTGTCAGCCGGGCAGCGATCCTTCTTCTTGCCGGGGTTCCCAGGACGCCGATTGCAGAATATATCGTCGAAAAAGTAGCTGCTCCACAGCTCTTGCAACGTGTTGGCTTTTGCCACTGTACGCTCGTGGTGCATTCGTGGTGCATTTAGTTTCGTGGGCTTTTCGCCGCTTCTTGCTGTAGGTCACAGCTGCCTTGGAATCATTCCGCTCTTCTTTTGGAAATCATCCTTTCTCTCATGCTCTACAGCATCATTTCTCCCAGTGAAACATTCCGAGCTGGGCTTTGCTTCACCGATTCCCCGTGTTGCACAGGTCATGTCATCTCCCACTGATTATGCCAAACCGAGCCCGCCCGTCTTGATGCCGGAAATTGGAGGATGGATGAGTGGGCCGGCTTTCTTTCTTCGATTTTCGATCGATCAGTCCCTCCGGGATGCTCCGCTGCCAATCCGTTCCTACGCAAAGCTCGAACCTGGACTTGAGAGCCTTCGACTTTGCTTTGACCTGCTCCGACTTATGGTCTAAACTGTGCCCTGCACTCATCTGTGTCTCTGACCCTGACTGCCCAGGCATACACGCCATTGCACAGCTTGCGCCCCATAAGGGACAGGTTGATGGTAAACGGTGGTTTGCAAATTTTGCGCGGGGACTGCCCTGTTTTCTGTATCACCCTAAATTATTGCATGTTCCATGGCCGCACCAGATCCTGACTCAACGCCCGGAAATGGAACTGGAAATTGGATGCATGTATGTATGTATGTATGTATGTATGTATGTATGTATGAGCGTATACACAGGGTCTAGTTGTGTACATAATATATGTGTATGTATACTGCCAAATAGTGTAAGTACCTTCCTACCACGCGTTGGTTGCCACACAGTAGTCTGTAGAGCTTTCGGGCCAAAGCAACCAAGACCATGCAGTCCTAAGCCCTGCAGCGTTTGCTTGTCAATGCTAGGTGGTCTTGTGAAACTGTACTAGGTCGGGGGCTCCAGAGGAACAAAACAGCTTAGGCCATATAATGAAAGTACTGTTCAGCGCTGTATTGTTTGCAACTCCGCCCCCAGTGTGAAAGTACATGATTTGTGTACACGCTCGTGTTGGGGCGTTGCTCTGTATTTGCTCTAGCATCATTCGCTGATTTGTCATAGTAGCTTCACTACTGCCTGGGGTATGCATTTGCGGGTCCTGGAGAAGACTTGTCCGCCGCATGGCTCTTCCTACCCGTTTGGGCGGCAAGGCCAATGACAGCGACCATCGACTCGGTCGAGATGGAGAGGTGTGCTGCTTGCACCTTGCGAACTCCCAAGGTGGCTTTTTTTGAGCGCTAATCGCCTACACCCACCACGTTTAACCCCCACTATGGAAACCTAACAGTAAACATTCCCTGGGGCTTTTTGATATTAGGCAGGGCTGCGGGTCCAAAACTAAGGGGAAGTGATTAACCATTGCTATTGCCATTACTAGTACTGTTGCTGTTACTGTCACTGTTACTCATCATCAAACCCCTTTGTCAACTCGCTGCTTGTTGTCTGGTGTGCGCGGCGCCTTCTCGATCGTCCTGCGAAGGGCATGCACATCGCAGGGTTTAGGGGAAGCGAAATTGTGCAAAAGAGCTTTGGGGTGTGGAGCTGAACAGATAGTGCCATGCAGTGCCGAAGGACTTCGCTGCGACTGTGTGCAGTCACGCCAAAACAACAAACACAGGACCTGCGGCAGTGTTACTGAGCGGTGCAGCAAACATTCTGGGTCAACTTGCACATGCTGCGAATGGACAAGGTAGGGTCCACCAGCAGAAATCTTCAGTGCCGACCCAGAATCCTTTGGGAACCCTGGGCAAGGGCGATCAGATGAATCTGACCGCCCCAGATGTTCAGAAGCAGAAGACTCTCATCGGTCCAGGAGAGGGGCGGAAGCAGAAGACTGTCGGGATCCAGGAAGAGTCTCCAATGGTACGGGTTCAGGAGCAGAAGCTGCTTCCAAGCCTGGCTTTGCGGGACCAGCAGCCAACAGAAACCGTCTGCTGTGCTGTTTCTCACTTCATCTACAAAGACCTGAACCTACTAATTTATTATCACTACCACCACCACGAAGACTAGTACAACAACTACTACTACTACTACTACTACTACTACTACTACCACGACTACTACTACTTCTACGACTACTA